GAGAATACAATCAAATAAAACGAGAGAAAGTATCATCAAGAGGAAGTCAAATTTTATTTCTAGCTTTATTTCTTGTAAAACAAAATATCCAAATCTAAATCGTCTTTATTCGAAAACATTGAAACTGCTGTATCGTTACTTCTTTTCCTCTTTTCTTGTGCTGCATCCACTGTTGTACGAACAACCGGATCAGATCGAATAAACAGACGAGAAAACGCATCAGTCAGATTGGGAATGTGTCCGATCTTACGTGCCAAATGTTCTCTATAATTACGAACAGATTTGTTAGTGGCTTCAAATGCTTCCTCTGATAAAGCACTGAGCGCTACATTGTCCTTTTTGCAATCAGTTCACAGCAATGAAAGAGCAAAGGAAACATTATTAGTCACGTTCTATAAATTGTGAGTGATTCAGTATAGAAAAATATGTGAAGAATGGAAAAAATATCCAGGTTCGTGTGATTCTTATGGGAAGTATGGAAAAACACGTCCAAATTCTTGGCTCAAAAAGCCAAAAAATTTGTTTTCGGAATTTAATATGCAATATTCTAATTCATTAGATGCAGTTTTTCCCACTAATCTCGAATATGTATAAATTATATCGAAAAAATTCATTTTAAGGTACAAAAAGGCTTATTTTACCCTGAAAACCAACGGATCTTTGAAAATCTTCAGAGAACGCCAGTGTGATTTGGGCGGCTATCGGCTGATACCATAGACAGAGGTGGTTATGGAGCTCATCCTCGCAAAAAATAAAGGTTCTTGGAGCTTAGGAAAATTTAGCGATCTCATCATGCATTGAGTGAAGGTTTTTGGAAAATCACGTTTTTCTAGAAAAAATCAAAATATTTTTTAAGAATGAGGCTCGAGAAAAACTTTTCTCATGCTGATTGGAAGCCTAACTTCCGCCGATTCCGAATATGGCCTCAGATTAATGCTGACACCAATTTTAAGTCGAGAAAATGCGGTTTTTCCAGAAAGGTACAAAATAATACAAGGATTTTTCCGACTAACTTTTTCCCGAGAGGAAAGGACTTTGGATAAAAATTCTTTTGCCGTTAGGTAGCCCGTCACTTGAAGTATATAGACCAATCTTCAAATCAAGAAAAATCAATCTTCATCTTTTTGACCAAATTGCTGCCTAATTGCCCACTGTGTGCCAAGACCAACCCATCATGTATCTAGATGGATATTTCTAGAAAATACTAAGACGTGTCGATGAAAAAAACAACCTTAAAAAGAAATGTTGTACATTTGTTAATATTTTCTAAGGCTTGTAGGAAAATGTATGTAATTCTTTAAATTAGGGTTACACTGTGTCTCAGAAGCTGAGGAAGTTGATCAAACAAATTTGCTGTACAAATCTACGCGTTGAGAAAAAACGATCGGTGGAAAATAGTAAAATCAATTATACTATAATATATAGACAACAATTATCGAAAGAATAATAAATGTCATTACAATTAGTAGAGAAATAGATTGATGTGTCACGAAATATCAGGGAAAATTTGATTTTAGAAAAAAAGAACAAAATTACCGTTTTACACCTGATATAATGTTTCAATACCAAGAAGCGGAAAAAAAACGCAGAAATAGAATAGTGTTACTTAAATATGTTTATTACTATTAGTTAAAAGCCTGATAGCCAGTTGTATGAACAACAAAGTTAAAGCACGTTACTATGTATACATATGGTATGTTATCACAATACAGTATTGCACAAACATTTTCAATATATCACAAAAACAAAATCACCAACAAATGAATCGAAATCGAACATGAATTGACTTTAAAATTTTATTTTGTCTTGCCCTTAAATAATATATTCGTGGTTTATTATAGAATCAAGTTTTGGTAATAATAAATACGATATGCTCTACAACCGAAACGAAGATGATGAAATAATGGAAAAGTAAAGCGCATTAAAAAAACTTAATCTCTAATAATTATACAGCTTTGTCATTTCTGAGCAACGTTTATTGATCTCTGCTGTCATCTATCTTATTCCTGCACTGTAGCGTTTTTAAACGATATATAAAATGAATAATTGAATTTATCTGACCTTTTAGCAAGGGGAAACAACTGAGTTTTGAGGTTAAAAAATCGGTTTAAATCGAAAATCGTTAAAAATCGCTTTTGATTTTATCTTTTTTTTTCTTTACTTTCACCATATCTGATTCCTATTTTGTACAAATAAAGCAGGTTTTGCACTATTTATCACAGTCTCTTTACTTGATTTTCAAAACAAATCACAGGAAATTGGAAAAATTGGTAAAAATCGGTGAAAATCGATGAAAATCAGTGAAAATCGAAAAATCCCAAAGTCAGCTGTTTCCTCCTTGCCTTTTAGTCTAAAAAGTCCATAACTTGGACGAATGGTTATTGTTATTCACCGTTTTATTTTGCAGTAAAGTATGTATATAAGAAACACGATTTCAACGAGTAATATACTTCTATATTTAGATCATCCTTTTATTTTAGAATAAATGGTTCCTATATGGTTTGTTGGAAATGCTCGACTTCAAATACAAACCAGAATTTTCTAGAACTACTCTACAGAATTAATTTAGTCGAGTTCTCGGGAGAAATTGTAGGGAACTGCCGGAAGATTTCTTAATTAGGACCAACTACTATATTCAGATCAAGAAGATGTCAATTCTCTTTTTTGATTTTGTATCTGGATGACGGTTGCTATTTAGTCTGTAACGTGATAAAAGTAAAATAGAAAGAGTTCAACGGCGGTAAACCCCAGAGATATTTGCTTCTAATTAACGTCATTGTCTGAGTAGCTTTATGCTATATTAATTTTAATCATTACTGTCCTCCTCGTTTGGAAAAACATCTGATAAGAACTGTGTAGAATAGTCCAGTGGATCTCAAAGAATTTATTTCATCTTCCATTCTACAGTAAAAACAATTTCAGATGTTCAGCGGAATCAGTTTATCTCTTCTTGTCTCCATCTGATCGTGCTCAAATTGTATCAGAATGTTCATCAATCCATTCTTCATTTATACTGTTAGCAGGAAGTAGCAATTCTTTTTATGTAATCCAAGATAGGAAAGTCTATAAAAAACCTTGATTTCTAAGGAAAATTGTGTTTTTCTGTGCGAGAGACGATTTTTTATCAAGCTGAACATAACATCCACAATCAGCTCATCATGCTGCATCAATTGATGTATGACTGAAAATGTTTTTAGAGAGAAAACTGAGTAAAACTGCCGACAGCGACGGCTTTCTTTGAGCTAAAATTAACCAAAAGATTAACTTTTCTAAATCGTCCTTTTTTCGCTCATAAACATAGTCTGGAAGATGCTTGGCAATACTAAGAGAGAAATAAAAATCAATATGCTCTTAGAACAAGAGAAAATCTTTTATCTTGGAAGAAAGGCTTCCTTGATAGGACATCGTTTACTCCATTTCTCCATTATAATGTGAGACTGCGTAAAGCCGTTATTCGAAGTATGGTAGAGTTAATGATAAGAATCAGAGACCAAAACGGATCGAGTTGATCCGCAGATCGGGTTGGGTCGAGTCTGGTCGGGTCGGATTCGGGCCAACGTAAATTGATTCGGGCGTAACGCATATTGATTCGGGTCGGGTCAACTCACGTTCGGTTTGGGTCGCGTTCGAGTCACGTTTGGTTGACCTGTTTCGATCTAACGCAGATCAATATAAAATAAACTGCCTGAATTACCCAAACTTTTCCATTGATAAAAGGAAAAAATGACGGAAACCGTAAGGAGATATCCGATACCCATTTGTGAAGTATATGTTTTACATATATAGCACAGTGACTGCAAAAGGAAAAGGTGAGTAATCCGATCGTCAATATATCAAGTAATATATTGGGCTAACTAACTTAGCTATATCTAATAATGTATCCTGCTAGCTAGCCATATTGTCCGATAGTAAATAGCCTAATTCGAATTATTAACTAGCTATATCGGGTAGTATACTGAGTTAACTAGCTAAATCGCCCGATAGTCGATATTTTTTTCTGCTTGGGTATATGAAATAATTATACAGAAAAACTGGAAGTTTTGTCTGTATGTAAGTTTTATGTAAAAGACTACATACAATATAAAGATTTCTAAAATAATATTTTGAACACGATTCTATTTAGTTTTTACTTTTTTTGCTAATATTAATTAGTAATCTGATTGGCACATTTTCTCTACTTTTTTCTGAAGTAGTGACTATACTTCTATTAACTGAAAACTTTTTACATCAATTTCGTACGAAACACATTGCCTCAATATTGTGTGAAAGATAATCTGTACTCCTTTTTTTTCATCTGCTATATTATATTTGCTCACATTGGGATTATTAATGTCTCCTCTTTTACGATGAATACATAATCTACTTTTTTTCATGCTGATCTTCATTATTCAAACTACTCGAATATATAGATTTATTGAAGCCATCGTTGATTTGGATTAAAGGACATATAATTTTTTTCCGATGAAAATCTGGGTAAGTAAAACACTATACATATGAAAATATCGGAAAAATGACTAAACCATCTTCATTAAGTTTGCTATGAAAAAATTCCATTAGTGAGATAATGACAATAGTGTTCAATTCACCTTTTATTACACAGGAGGAAGAGATTGTCATCCTTGAATTAAACATAAACAGATCGTAGCATAACCTCGAAGTACGTCTTACATAACATAAATCACTTTTTTCTCCTTGTTTTACAAACAAAAAAATGAAATAATTTGATACTTTATGTTGATAAGACCATTGAAAGAAGAAGACTATCTATCAGAATAGATTATTTTACTTTATAATTGTAAACATTGACGATGGGATAAAACCATATTTGAAATACTTTTCTATTACTTTTGTCACAATCAAAGTATGTATAAATTCCACGGAAAAGCTAAGCTGGAAAATAAGAAAATGACGATTGGTGATTTTTAGAAATATATACATGAAATAAAAATTTCAAGAAATACTTTTGATTTTAGTGTTCGTGGTATGAATAATGAAACTTATGGTAATCCTTATTTCTATTCACAACCCTATAACGAGATTCTTTCACCTTATTTAACACACAATTATGTATCATTAACCAATTCTTCCTCTATTATTAATGATTACGTCAATAATTCAGTGTCATTAGTTGCTGAAACAGCGAATCCAAACTCATTCAATAGCGTATATTCGTCTTTGAGCCATTATAAGTCGACGGCAAGTGAAAATCATGAACCAACGGTTATATCAGATACAACACATTATTCCAATACTAATGGAAAACAAGCGAGTAACGATAACAGTTCATTGCCATTTCATGCTACGTCAGTACATAATCGAATTAGCCTTACATCGCCGACTTCATATGAAAAGAATTATGCAACCACAACATTACCATTTTCTTACGATCCTTTGTTTGTAAATTCTCATAAAAATGTCAAACAGGCATCTTTCGCTATTCAATCATTGAGCAGTAACTATACTCTTTTTGATGATTTTTCGATGTGTCCGTATTCCTCGTGTTCATCCGATTTAGGACCAGTTCATCCTTACGTTTCATCCATCATTCCTTCATTTCAGCCAGATGAAAGAAAGAGTGAATATCTCTCACATGATCATTTTGGGTACGTATTACTAATTTGACAGTAAGCAATTCTCAATTCTAAATCTATCTTTAATTTGAATTGTTAATTGTAGAATAGAAAAACTCATTCTAAAGCGCATAATTATAAATATTGAAACAAATGCCTATTTTTCGAATATATTTCGATTCGTCCAGTCAACCAATTACTTTTTCTATTTTAGGTTTGATATGAAATTTAAATTATGTAATCGAGAAGAAAAACAACAATCACCAGAAAAAGTCCCATCAAATCAACTGTATGTCATCAAAAGTCAACAGTTAATATTATAATTATTTATTAGTATTTTTAGATGTGCAGTGTGTATGGATGTAGCACAATGTCAACACTATTCTGTTAGAACATGTGAGGGCTGTAAAGGTTTCTTCAAGGTAATATTATACGTGTATGATAACAGCGTAGATAAATGAACATTTTCATAGTATCTATCTCAGATGGTTGAATAGAAAAGTTTTAACAGGTATTATGGTAATAGAAGGTATTATGGAATTAATGAAAACAGTTAATATAGTAAAAACCGACATGACATACTTTTCTTAAACACACATTAACATCGTATAATGTTAAACAGTGTGATATTAGGATTAGGAAACGTAATAACTTTTAGTCGCATTCATGCCACATTGTGTCAATATTTGCTCAATATGATATTGAGCAAACTCTAATTTTTATTGTTTCCAACAAATATTAAATACCAATAAAAATCTTGAGAAGAAACTCATCTATATTAAAACTTTTTCCCTCTAATTAAGCTAAATCCTAAGACGTGACAGTTGTGAATTGTAGTAATCTATCTTATACTTACATTGCAACGACACATCGGCACACAAGTCATTTATTGCTCTTTTACATGGCACAATAGTGAGAAGAATAGTTTTATCTTCTCTATCTTGCTTTTTATCATAGCGAACAGTTCAAAAAAATGCAAAATATGAGTGCCTTGGCGACAAGAATTGTCCAGTAGATAAACGACGGCGTAATAGATGTCAATATTGTCGATATCAAAAGTGTATTGCCGTGGGAATGCTCAAAGAAGGTTGCAAACCTGTTATAATTATAATATGCCAATACTAATGAGTTCTCTAACTATGTTTAGTTGTTCGTACAGATTTGTTAAAAGGAAGACGTGGACGGTTACCATCCAAACTTAAGAGTCCACACACAAAACTCCATCCGAACAGTCTTCAAACACAAATAATTCGCATATATAATGATAGTATACCATCGACAACATGTCTCGATTATAGTACAGTAAGATAATTTTCTGTATCCATTCTAGACAGAGATTAAATATGACTTTTTTTAGTATCAACCTGTAATTAGTAAAGCAAATCTATGTGAAGAAAAACGTATTGTATATGAAGCATTACTACAATCCTGTGAAATAATTAAAGAATGGTGTGATAAATTTTGTCTATTTTATTTAATTAATTTAACTGAATGTCATCGATTATTATCTAATTCTTTATTCGATTTGATTGTGCTAAGAACAGCCATTGGAATCAATGAAAATCATGATCGAGTTATATTATTGTCGGGCGTTGTACTGCACAAAGTACAATTAAATTGTTTATTGGGAGATATTGCACAACAAATGTATGATTTTAGTTTGACATTAAGCAATGTTAAAGCTGACAATGTAATTAATGCATGTCTTGTGTCCGCATTACTATTGGCTCCAAATAATCAAAGTTAGTATCTAATTAGACTTCTGACCATTGCAGGAACAAATAAAGTGTAGAAATCTGCATAAACAACTTTTTCTAATGTATATCCATGCGCAGACCGTGTTCATGAAGCGAAGATCTGTTTTTCAAAATTATTCTAGAGAAATGTTATACAGTTTCTTTCTAGTAAAATAGAAGAATATCTGAAATATGTAAACAACAAATATACATAGAAAAAAAATGTTTACTACACTATGCTACTGTAAGCTGATTCTGTTGAATTTGTTTATCTTCACTATATTATTTAATCAATCCGTTTAGTTCACTTTCGTCTATTATTTACATCTATGCGTAGAGAATATACGAGGGAAATGAACGATAGTTTACTAAGGAGAAAGAAGGACTACTGCGTCTTGCTCTTTAGAATAATTACTAAGCATGTACTAACCTCTCAGAAAACCATGAAGGTTAATTGGAGGAACAGTATTATACGTCGCAAAAGAAGTGAGTATGGTATAGGAATTCTTGCGCCCAATTACTTGAGCTTCCCATATACACTTCACTAACCACGTACTACCTTTCCGGAAAGCCACGAAGACTAGCCGGAGAAACTGTATTATACGTCACAACATAGTGAGTATGCTGTCAGACGGGTGATCCGAGGCACTAAGACATAAATAACTTGACCAGGATTATTACATAACTTTGCTAGAGCCGAGGTTCGAACACAGTACCTTTGAAGTAGGTGATGAACAACATAACTATCAAGCCATGCTGTATGGTAATGATCCAAGGCACTAAAGCGTAAATAACTAGTCCCATGTTATCTCGTGGCTTAACCACATCGAGAGTCGGACACAGTTTAAGCAATCTTTTGGATTTTTTTGTTTCTAGCTTGTGTTCATCATGCATCTCTACCAATACCGATTGCTGATTTATACAATAAAATTATTGAGTGTTTGAAAGAACATTTGAAACAAATATACAAAAACAATTTATTATATGCGGAGTGGCCGGAAGAAATATTTAATAAAACAAGACAAATTGGTGCTAACTTAAAAAAACGTCTGCTATCACATGCACAAAATATTGGTTCAATGGATTCTGTACATAGTTTAGTAGGTGAAATGTAAGTATTTCTGGTTTAATAGGCAATTTGCAACACTTTACAGATTAGCCACCAAGAGACGTAAGAGAATACTTTCTGGTAGTTTTGGTCAGTTCGCTGAGCTGCGTCGAATGGCAGTGTCTGTTTGAAAAAAAGTTTTCGACTTAGGAGATCTCAGAAAAAGTGGTCTCCTATCTCTCTTTCTCTTACGTCCCTTGGCGGCTGAGCTACAGGTACAAATTTCTTTGTTGCAAGTCACTTATTGACTATAGTTTTTTTTCTCACAACCGTTATGAAGGTTTTTCGGAAAAAAACTGAGAAAATACATGACAATTTCATTGAGTAGCAAATGTTCATTCATACCTTATAGAAGATATCGAAATTACCTTTAATTCTCTTACATACAACCTTTCATGATCTATTACGAAAAACAGCTAATAGTAGCAAAAACGAATAGAGCTAATTTTTAAGCAACATCTTGTTCTATTTTAGATTACATTCAAATTCAATTGATTCTGAAATACATAACTGACAAAAAGAAGATTTCATTAAAGAATAAAAAATTAGAGAAAAAATATTATTATACGAATCTATTGGTATCCATTATATTGTCCACTATCAGATTTGAACAGCTACATTATTAATTTACTAAAAACTTTAGATCCTGAGAATAAAGTTGTATACAATATTACCCCGGTGTTTTTAACGATATTTGTTAATCATTTTTGAGCAATAATAGTTATTATTAATTATTAACTACCCTTCTAGAATGTTTCAAATACGAAAGTTAATTGGTATATCAGAAAATGATCGAAACAATGCAAGAAAAAAAGTGCAACACTGTGTAGTGATATTAATAATGTGTTTTTTATGATGTATCTAGAGTAGTTAGAGGATATCTATTCTGTTGTTTTTCTTGATCTGCACTACGATGGATTTTACTCTTATTTTTCATCGCAGTGAATATGATGGTTTTCTGTTTTTCTAATGAAAATGAATTATTTATATACTTGTCGTGGTTGCTACAGTTTTAGATTTTATAAAGAAGAATATTAACTTTGATAAAATATTAGACAAGAATTCATCAATCAGACAGTATACATTAAATATTTATTTTATAAAAAATATTATAGATCGATACATAAAGCCAAACAACACAGATGTTGTTCATAGTGAAAATCACTCACTAAAGCGTCGTGAAACAATTACCGAATGTTTATCTATAAACTTCAGCAAAAATATGATCTCTGAAAAACTATTAAAGATAGAATAATTATTCTTTTAAGTTTGTTACTAAAATGTTTACTGCTAATAAATTATAAGAACTAGTAAATCCATAAATAATAAACTACAAACGAAAAGCGAACGAATTTTTATTAGCTTTCGCTCACAGATGGTGTACGTGAGTCTCGGCGAAGATCTATCTTGGTCGTTCTAGAATTACGAGTCGATACACCATGTGAAGTTGGTTGAACTTGATCTAGTACAGACTGAAGTTCTAAAATAAAACATAATTATACATATTTATTTAGTTATATAGAGAATATCGATATTGATTACCTTGTGTCTTATCATATATCAAAAATCGTCGACGTCCATCATTATTATCATAGACGTAGAAATCTTTTGGATCATCCACTTCGTTATAGAATTGGTTTAACACAAAATTATCTACTGGAGATGTTGCACGTGTTTCTGTTTCGGTTCTTATGCCGTGTGTAATTCCAATTTTAGATGACATTCGCTTTTCTGGTTTGGTTCTTATTTCAGGTGTAATTCCAATTTTAGATGACACTCGTTTTTCTGTTTTGGTTCTTATCTCGGGCGTAATTCCAATTTTAGATGACATTCGCTTTTCTGTTTCGGTTCTTATGTGGGGTGTAATTCCAATTTTAGATGACAGTCGCTTTTCTGAAGAAAAAAATATTCAAAAATTGAGAATTAGTGATAAATTTATATAGGACTCAATTTGTGTTGAACTCCTTTGCAAGATGTCGCAACTATACAAATGTATTTTTACTTACTAGACCACACAAAAATATGATTTAACATAAATGTTGATAAGATAGAAGCAATAGTAGCAACAATTGCTGACCAGTATGCTAAATAAAAATTATTTGAAATATGAAAAATAATAATTTGTCTCAATAATATTACCATAATCTAAGTTTGTTGCTGTCAAATAGAGATTGAATAGACAATGAAGGGCAACAATAATTTCAAATATAATACAAGCAATTTCCAATAATAATAAAATTGCAATTGACGCAAATATGCATCGTTCATACCGATGTTCTACAAAAAGAAGGATATGAAATTAACATAAAATTAAATAAGATTATATACCCGATGGAAAAACGACTGCAACTGATATATAAACTGAAAACCAAAGAACAATAATAGCAGCACACTGGAGTGAAATAATTAAAACTGATAATAGAACAGTATTGACAACTAAAAAAATTATTTAAAATAGTTTTAAGTTTTTATAACTGAAATATTCAAGTAAGTACATTACATGTAAGTAGATAGAGAGCTATCGATACTACAATAAATGTTAATGATATTAACCATGTTAGAATAGGCCACGTTAAACCAACACGAACTAGAATCAATAAATATTGTTATTAAAATCAAAATATATTTTCATCATTGACTTTATACTTCTCTGGTTGAATATTAGATAAAATATTGCACTTGTCAATATTGTATAGTTTACAACATTTATCATATAGGTTAACCACATTAACGTTTGAGTACATTTTCCATACGGAGCAAAACTGTTGAATCCATAAGCAGAACTAATGTAGCCAGCAGATACAAAATAACTAAACCAAAATGATTCATAATTTTGGTTGGTAGAATCTGTGCAACTATCGGTTGACATATTAGAGAATAAAACAACCTATAGAAAAATTAGAAAAATTAGCAGTTTTGGTAGTGAAAACCATCATTATGAACCTAAGATTGGCCTTAGCGTGTAATCTACATCTAAACAATGCAATTAACATTTATTAGTGACTAGAATAAGTAATAAATTTATAGGCTTACGAGGGAACCACCGTAAGTGATTAAAAGCTTTTGAACTGATATTTTCCCCATAAGTAGGACCTGATGAGACTAGAAAGGGTCTATAAGGATAAAGGCTCATAGACTTTCCTTCCGGAGCTCTACTGGATATTTAGCCTACGGTAAAGTGTTTACAAAAAATTAAATGGCAAAATTTTGCCCATATGTAGGTCTCGTGGTGCTTAGAATGCACTAAAAGTTTCAGCGAAAATGGATGTTTCTTTCTCAAGATAATGAATTTGCAAGAAATATCCACATTTCATAGAGCGGTCAGAAAGATCGAGTTTTCTTGTATATTCATTATCTCGAGAAAGAAACATCCATTTCCGCTGAAACTTTTAGTGCATTCTAAGCACCACGAGACCTACATATGGGCAAAATTTCAGGTCGAAATTTCGCTATTTGATTTATGTAAATATTTTGCCGTAGGCCAAAAACCTAATATAACTCCGGAAGGAAAGCCTATGTGCCCTTATACTTTTGGGCCTTTTCTAATCTCATTAGGTCCTACTTATAGGGAAAATATTAGTTCAAAAGCTTTTAATCAATAAGGACGGTTCCCTCGTTAGTTGCTAGTATAAACGGTTAACTTGAAAAAGCTTAAAAAAGAATGGAATGCTAATGGTTATTTTGTAGAAAAACGATGGAAAGCTCAAGTTTATCAGAATACTCACTATAAAAATCTAAACACACCTAAACATGGTAAAATGAAACGAAAATTTCAGTCTCAAAATGGTTTTATAAAAAGATGTTTAGAAAACACAGTTGCTGTTCCCTAGTATATGTACATTCAGTTTTGAATAAGATAAAAATGAAATTGATTTATAGGATAAGTTTTATCGTAAATGATTTACTTTCTGGGATTAAAATGAAATCACCAGATCAAGATATTCTAAAAGTGGGGATATTGTAGCCCAATATGGTATGCTCAAAACTAACCGATTCCTTGTAGTCTGTCAACGATTTTTCTATCCTTAAAGTATAAAGATAAACAAAAACACTATTATAGTAAAGTTCATACAAGAAACTAAACATACACAAAAAATGAACGCTATCACAAAAAGATCATTGTATTCATACTTTCCTTGCAAATTGTACTACTTACAAATAAAATAACTTTGGGTTGCGAAGTAAAGTACGCGTATTATTCTCATTAACTCCGATCGTCTAGTTTTTTGGAAAAAAAATGAAACAAATTGCTAAAAACTTATTCTGCTTCGTGAAGAAAGATAGTAAATTCGAAAACGAGTAACACAAAAAAATGTCAACTGTGTTTGTTAAACATCTTTTTACGAAATCACTTCAAGACTAAGATTTTCGTTTCATTTTTATTATATTCAGATGCACCTAGATGTTCACTAGCATTTTACATACGTGTCTGATAATATTGACTAACGAACAGGTGACTCAGTGGGTATTAGCTAGAAAAAGAGCCTTTTCTCCTTGATTTTTCAAATTTATCACTAATTAAATATCGAGATCTAGCTTTAGAAATTTGAAATAAATTCTATTATTTTCTTAATTATGTTGCCAATTTTCCAAGTATTCTGCTAACAATCGTTGATAGAAGATTATACGTACACATAATTCAATATAGTATCACTGTTGGAAACATGCAACGACACAATACCAATATATATAAATGGATATATTCATCTAAATGAATATTTTGAAATGAAACAACAGTCTAGTGATGAAGATTAAATTCAACAAAAACAATAATATTATTATTTTAAATATTTCACGATTTTTCTTTTGTTTATGGATTGTTTTATGTTACCATGTTCAATATGTGTTAACTGAAATTCTGTCAACAAGTAAGTCAAACATGCAATAATCGGATTACGAAATGTATTAGTATCGATGAAGAAAATTTATTTTTATTTTCCAATTATTCTACAATTAACAAACGGGCTTAAAAACAGAAAAACACACGATATGCAAAATTATTAGCAA